GGTTTAAAATTACGAAAGGTGTGTGACAAGGTTGTATTCTTTCACCATACTTATTCAACCTGTATGCTGAGCAAATAATCCGGGAAGCTGGGTTCTATGAAGAAAAACATGGCATCAGGATTGGAGGAAGCCTCATTAACAACCTGCGATATGCAGATGATACAACCTTGCTTGCTGATGAAGATCCAAGAGAATAGCCTTCAGTATGGATTACATTTCAATGTAAAGAAAATAAAAATCCTCACCACTGGACCAGTATACAACATTATTATCAACGGAGAAAAGACTGAAGTTGTCAAGGACTTCATTCTTTTTGGATCAAATATCAACACTCACGGAAGCAGCAGTCAAGAAATCAAACGACATATTTCATTAGGCAAATCTACTGCACAAGACCTTTTTAAAGTGTTGAAGAGCAAAGATGTCAGTTTAAGGACTAAGGTGCACCTGACTCAAGGCATGGTGTTTTCAATAACCTCATATGCATGCGGAAATTGGACAGTGAATAAGGAAGATGGTAGAAGAATTGATGCTTTTGAGTTATGGTGTTGGAGGAGAGAATTGAAGGTTCCATGGGCTGCCAAAAGACCAATTAAATCCGTTTTTAAGACGTGCAGCCAGAGTGCTCACTGGAGGCCAAGATGGCCAAACTTCGTCTCTCCTATCTCAGACATATTGTCAGAAGAGACCAGTCGCTGGAGAAGGATACCATGTTTGGTAAGGTGAAGGGTCAGAGAAAAAGAGGAAGACCCCCAGCAAGATGGATTGGCCAAGTGGCAGCATCGATGGACTCAAGCATGCCAAAACTAGTGAGGTTGGTCCAGGATTGGGCAGTGTTTCGTTCTGCTGTGCGTTAGATCGCTATAGGTTGTTATCGACTTGACGGCACCTAACAACGAATCCTCGGAAACCTTGTACAGGTTCGCTGAGTCAGAATAGACTCCACGGCAGATAACAACAACAAATATATTGTCTTCCTTAACTACCCTTTGACATTTTTTGTTCACCTCTTTTACTTCACTACTTCCAGTCACTTTAACTTCTCTATATTCAAGAACAAGATTCAGAGTTTTCTGAATATCATTTGGTCTGTTTCTTTCCTGTCTTTTTAATGACTTTCTGCTTTCTTCATGTCTGATGTTCTTGATGTCATCCCACAATTATTCTGGTTTTCAGTCATTAGTGTCTAATGCATCAAATATATTATTATTAAGATGATCTCTAAATTTAGGTGGGATGTGTAGTTGCATGCTGTCCAGTGGGTTCCGACTCATAGCAACCTTGCAGTAAGGTTTCTGGAGTCCTGGTGTGCTGTAGAATAAGCTCTGGACTGCTAACCCAAAAGTTGGTGGTTCAGACCCACCAGCCACTCCTTGGAAACCCTATACAGGGTTGCTAAGAGTCAGAACCAACTCAATGGCATTTAATATCAACATAGGGGTTTCTAAGAGCTGCTGGTGGATTTGCACTGTCAACCTTGTCACATCAGAGCTCTCAAGTGGGATATATTGAAGGTCATATTTTGCCTCTCATGGATTTAGTTTTATTCAACTTCTGCCTGAACTTTCATATATGCAATTGGTGGTCTGTACGCAAAGATGTCAGCTTGAGGACTAAGGTGTGCCTGACCCAAGCTATGGTATTTTCAATAACCTCATATGCATGTGAAAGCTGGACAGTGAGTAAGGAAGACCGTAGAAGAATTGATGCTTTTGAGTTATGGTGTTGGAGGAGAATATTGAAAGTGCCATGGGCTGCCAAAAGAACCAGCAGATCTGTGTTGGAAGAAGTGCAGCCAGAGTGTTCCTTGGAGGCCAAGATGGCCAAGCTTTGTTTCTCATACTTTGGACATGTCAGGAGGGACCAGTTGCTGGAGAAGGATGTCATGTTTGGTAAGGTAGAGGGTCAGAGAAAAAGAGGAAGTTCCCCAATGAGATGGATTGGCCAAGTGGCAGCATCAATGGGCTCAAGTGTGGCAACAGGTTGGCGCAGGATCAGGCAGTGGTTCGTTCTGCTGTGAATAAGGTCGCTATGAGTCGGTACTGACTTGATGGCACCTAACAACAACAACAATCACAGTCGAGCCCTGGTCTTGCTTTGGCTGATGATATTGAACTTCTCCATAATCTTTTCTCATAGATGTAGTCAATTTGATTTCTGTATATTCCATCAAGTTAGGGCCACACATATAGTCACCTTTTATGTTGTTGAAAAAAGTATTTAAAATGATTAAGTCATTGATCTTGCAAAAATTTTATCAAGCAATCTCCAACATAATTTCCATCTCCAAAGCCATATTTTCCAACTACTGATCCTTCCTGTTTCCAATTTTCACAAGCTAATCATTCTAATTATTGAAGCATCTTGATTATATGTCTGATCAATTTCAGACTAAAGAAGTTGGTAGAATGATTCAATTTAATCATTTTTGGACTTCATGATTGGTGTGTAAATTTGAATACAAGTGGTATTAACTGGTCTTCCTTATAGGAATATGGAATATTATCCTATCACAGACTGCAATGCAATTCATGAGAGATGAAATGCTCTTTATGGTGCTGTGACATCATTCCTTTTGAATTTGTCATTCCTGGCAGAGTACACCAAAACTGTCTTACTTAAAATGGCCCATACCTGTCTCACTAATGCCATTTCACTGTTGATGACTTCTAATTTTCCCAGATTCATATTTTGTACATTCTATTCTCCAATTAATAATGGATGTTTGCAACTGTTTCTTCTCATCTTGGGTTGTGTCCCATCAGCAAATGAATGTTCCCAAAGCTTTGCTCCATTCACATCATTATACTTAACTCTACTTTGAGGGGAGTCCTGGTATGGTACTGTGGGTTAATGCACTAGACTGGAGAGCTGGTCAGCAGTTCAAGCTCACAAGCCACCCCTCAGAAACCCTATCCAGGGTCAATAAGGGTCGGAACTGACTAGACAGCACTTAACAACAACAATAACTACTATGAGAAGGCAGGTTTTCCCCAATCATATATTGAATGCCTTTCAACCTGAGGGTCTCATGTTTAGGCAGGCAGTATATCAGACAATGTTCCACTGAAATCCACAAGGTTTTCAGTAGCTAATCCTTCAAGAAGCAGCCTGCCTCTCCTTCCTATTCAGACTGGAGCTCCATTGAAACCTGCTCACCATGGATGACCCTACACATTATTTAAAATATGGGTGGCATATTTTAAACACAAAACACAAACCACTACAGTATGACAAACTGGCAAATGAGTTTTGGATCCTGTATTCTAAAAAAAGCAAACAAGTAAAAACACATTTTCTAAAATAGCAGTTAACAAAGAGAAAAGGGGTAGTACATGCCAAATGACCAAGATGCCTTTGGGCCTAAGAGTCTTGAAACCAATTAAACGGCGTTCAGTGAAACCTGTTAAGAGACAGAACTCCATAGGACTGCCTTGTTTTTCTGGGTCTCATTAGTTTTCCATCTTTGCCAGGGTGTACTTTTCTATCACTCATTCTAATGGAAAACACTGGAGTTCTTTGACAGGTTTTTGTTTGTACACAGGTTCTGGCTTTCTATGGGTTTACTCTAATAGAAACCTCCTCCCTTGAAGCCAGATATCTCATTAAACATAAAACAATTTATAAAACACATCAGAATTTTATTGCTTGAAGAATACAGCATATGAAAATCACAAGAATGTCAAAATGAAAAGTCACTAGGTTTCAAAACATATAATACATTATCAGATGCAGGAAAATATTAATTAACCTGAACTCTGCATCAGAAAAAAAAAGTGTGGAAAAATATCTAAGTTGTTTACTTAAGAAACATATTCTTAAAATAGAAAGTGTAAGAATGTTACAGTACAAATTAGAAAAGCCAACACTTTATTATTTCTCTAGATCAGACTACCTTTGGTACTTACACCTTTAAAAAACCATTTCTTCCAGCCTGTTTAACATACTTGAGAAATACAATATCCATGAAGTAATAACTTCAAATTAAACATTCAGCAAAACTAACCTTTTTGTTGCATGGGGAAGCATATGTGACAAATGTCTGACAATATTTCACTTTTTTCTAAAACTGCAAATGTGAATCATTAAGAAATCTAATACTTGTAAACTTTATGTATTTAGCTTTCCAATTAAAATTGGAATCCTGGCAGTCAAAGTCTATTTTGGGGGCTTAGGGAGTATAGAAATTTAAAGGTTTGGCAAAGGACCATAGGCTACTTCATACCATAAGTGACTTTTCCTTTCTGTTTCCAAAATATAGGAAATATGCCATATTTTTCAACATGCTGGATTCCTACAACAATCACTACCATACTTTTATTACTGAAGCCACATTAAAGCTTCTTCCCTTTAACTAGTAGGTTAAAATGAACTATGTGTGTTTCATATAGTGCTGATAAGTTAGGTCACATTTTCTTAAACAAAGCCAATCTTTTTCTTTTTTAATTTTTAAAGCTTTCAGTCAATTATGATGAAAGAGACTGTGGTGTCATTTCAAAAGGTAGCATTGGACTCTTTAAATCATCTAGTCAAGAAAATATAAAAAGTAATGCTAAAAACAAAGAGTAAGTAAACTATAAAGTACAAGTTAAATAATAATAATAAAAAAAAGTATACTCATTAACTTTCCTTTCTTCCCCTCAGCAAAGGTTTGAATATTTACGAACTTTAGTTTAAACCAACGGAACTCCAGCAGTTGCTTCACAAGTTCCATCTATATATTTGAATAATATGAACATGGATGGACTAAGCAAGTAATACTATTAACAATTATGAATTGGAGTGAAATAAGAATCATAACAATCCTCAAAAATGGGGCAATCTCTGAAATGTAATAGTGTAGCTCAAGATGAATTATGTCATAATAAAACTGTATGTTTTACTAATATGAAAAAACAAAATAAAAACAAACCCCACCAAATTTGTACAACTTCTACTGAAACTACTCCTTCTTAGTTTTTTAATGTCTTGAGATTTTTTTTTTAAACAAGTATATTTACCTGAGCATATACATTATTGCCTGTATATATACTCGCTTTAAAAGACAAAAGATTCAGATACTACAGAACTGCAGTTTTTTCACTAACCTGATCCAATGTCTACTGTATCATATGCCCCCCAAAATAATTTAAAATTCCCAATTTTTACTTTAGTTAAAAGGGCAGAGGAAATGCAAATGTAGATGTAGAGATTCTGTATAAATTTTACTGTATTTTTATAAACTTTAAGTTTTCTGTAACACTGTTTATTGATCAAATAAGGATTCACTATCTAAAATTTCATAAACACCATTAAAAATTCAAAATTGATATTATACTGAACCTTAAATTTTCAATAGTTCAAAGAGAGTTTTTACATGTATAGCACACAACAGAGAAAACTTAACAGCAGACATCCCAAGGATAACAATGGCAAGTCCACCAAGATGCATACAAAATTACAGATAAGCATTTCTTTCACTGTTTTGTTGTGGAGGAAAAAACATTTATGGAGGAAATAGAAACTCAGCTGGTGAATTTCAGATATCATCATCATCTTCTTCATCCTGAGAAGATCCTGCTTGATTGGATGCACTGGCTGAGGCAGCAGCAAGCTGGGCTTGTTGAGCAGCCTGCTGCATTTGGAGCCATTCCTGCTGGGCCAATTCTGCTTGTTGCTGTCTAGCCTAAACAACAAAACAACAAAAAGCCAAGTGATAATAAATTTTTAAAAAACACACACAATATATACATTCTGGTGAAATATGTGTTGTTTTTAAGTGTTCTAGAGTTGGTTCCAACTCATAGAAACCCTGTATAAGGTTTCTAAGGCGCGGCTAGTAAGTTTGAATGCCAACCTTGCAGTTCAAACCAATCTTGGGAATTCAGTGCTTATCCTACAGCGCCACAACAGAGCTTCCTGATTGAACATACATTAAGTCAGTTATAGATTCAGTCATTATTCAACTTGGATATTTTCATACTACTATATAATTACCATGGAGTCCTGGTGTGGCACTGTTGAATAATGCACTGGACCGCAAGATTAGTTTCAACAGCAAGGTTGGTGATTCAAACTAACCAGTTGCTTGGAAACAGGGTCACTATGAATCAGAACTGACTTGATGACATTTAACAATAACAACAATATAAGTACTATGGAGTCCTGGTGTGGTGCTGTAGGATAAGCACTGGACAACAAGGTTGTTTTGAACCGCAAGGTTGCCAGTTCAAACTCACTGTTTCTCAGAAAACTCATATAGCTAGGATGAGGAAAATCAAGCCAGTGGGTTGTGTATGACTTTCAAAATCATTTGGTCTGGCCCTGCCAAGGCAACGGCAGTTCCTGTCATCAGATTCTAGCAGACGAATTTTTAAGCTGAAATGGCCCTTTGCAGGAAAAGCTTCCCTAGCCCTGTTATACAGGGTCACTATTGAGTCGGAGGCAGAAAAAAGTACATAGTGCTTACGAATCAGGCTGCTAACCTAAAGTTCAGCAGTTTGAAACTGCCAGCTCGTCCATGGGATAAAGATGAGGCTTTCTGCTCCCATAAAGATTTGCAGCCTTGGAAACCCTGTGAAGGATCACTATGAGTCAGAACCAACTCCACGGTACTTAACAACAACAACCCCTGCTATACAGGGTCACTATGAGTCAGCATCGACTAGATGGCACTTAACAATAACAGCAGCAATATAATTGCTATACATCTGGAGAGCTTAAACTCTATGAAAAATGTAGTGAAAGACTCATCTCCTGTCTGTCGCACAGGTCTAATGAGAATTTCTCAAATTTGGTTCTTTTATAGAGGGTCTCGTTTTACGCCTTTGGTTCAACTGAAAAAGGCAAGAGAAAAATCATAGTATTTTTGTCTTTTATTCCTTTCCCTGTATGAAAGGACTTCAAAAAACTTCATGGAAAAATGTCATTATCTTTTCATTCTATTTTTCCAAGAATTTTTAAAGCCCCCTCATATTTCTCTCTTCCTTTCTTTTCATTTATTTGAGTCTTCTGTCTCCTCAACTTACAGTTTTAATATATACATTTTCAACATAAAATTATTTCTGTGGCATAAAAGTTCTCTTAGAGGTGAAGTATTATAAATGAAAACAATAGCTACTTTAATATTTCTTTCGTATTCTTATCACAACTTCCCATCTTATATAGTGATATCTTTCTCTGCACACACACACACGCTTCTGATACACACTAGTGAAAATATCTTTAATAACGTCTGAATTTCAATAAATGCAGTAATTAAAATCTACTAACTTGACATATACATTTAATACATTAAAAACCACTTGATTTTAGAAGCCACGATACATTATTCATTATTTACACGGTATAACAGCTAAGGTATCTTCTCAATTTGATTTCACCCATTAGCTGAAAAAAAAAAAAAAAAAAACACCAAAAAGGGGGGAAATGAACTTGTTCTTAATGAGATTTTTCAACTTTCCATAATATAATACTGTTTCTTCCTCTCTTTAATTTTCTCAGAATTGTTCTTAACCCCTGCTTAATACCCTTGTTTATACATGGCTAATTCACAGCCATCCTTTAAAACTCATGCCAAGAAATTTTTCTTCACCTTTTCAAGTCACATTTGGTGAACTACATCACATGCCTACTCTCTTTGCAGTTTCATCTTGTCTTAGAAGTATCTTAGTATCTTTTCTCCACCAGATTTAAGAAGAGACTGCTTTAATATTTCATATTCACTGTTGTATTCCTAACACATAGGCCCTCAGTATCACTTGAGTGAGTATTCTGTGGGTAAAATGATGATTGGCATAATTTGTAACTTGTGCATTCCTCACTGCTAAAAATAATCTGCCAGAGGATGTTTGTACTTGGGTATTGACCTCTTTTGCAAACATATTCAAGAATGTGGTAGAGCATGTTGTTATATACCGGTGAGTTGGTTCCAACTCATAACGATCCTATGTACAACAGAATATAGCACTGCTAGATTCTGTGTCATCCTCAGAATTGCTTTTACTTTTGAGACCATTGATGCTGTCACTGTGTCAATCCATCTTGTTGGAGGTCTTCCTCTTTTTCACTGACCCTCCACTTTCCCAAGCATGGTATCTTTCTCTAGGGACTGGTCCTTGTATATCATGCCTGAAGTATGATATACAAAGTCTGGCCATCCTGGCTTCCAGTGACCACTCTGGCTGTACTTCTCCCAACACAGATTGGTTTGTTCTTTTGGCAGTCCTTGATAGTTTTAATATTCTCCTCCAACACCATAATTCAAATGCATCAATTCTTCTATAGTCTTCATTATTCACTGTCCAACTTTTACATGCATATGAGGCAACTGAAAATACCATGGTTTGGGTCAGACACACCTTAGTCCACAAACTAACATCTTTGCTCTTGAACACTTTAAAAAGGTTTTGTGCAGTAGATGTATCTAATGTAATACATCGTTTACTTTCTTGACTGCTGATTCCATGAGTGTTGATAGTGGATCCAACCGAAATGAAGTCTTCGACAACTTCAATCTGTTCTCCATTTATCATGGTGTTATTTATTGGTCCAGTTGTGAGGATTTTTGTGTTCTTCGCATTAAAGTGTAATGCATACTGAAAGCTGTGGTTGCTGATCTTCATCAGTAAGTATTTTAAGTACTCTTCACTTCCAGAATGCAAGGTTGTATCATCTGCGTATCACAGGTTGTTAATGATGCCACATACTTCTTCACATAATCCAACATCTCAAATAATTTGCTCAGCATACAGATTAAATAAGTATGATGAAAGGATACAACCTTGATGTATACCTTTCCTGATTTAAAACCATTCAGTATCCCCTTGTTCTGTTTGAATGACTGCCTCTAGGTTTATGTTCAGGTTCCTCATGAGCACAATTAACTGTTCTGAAATAGCCATCCTTTGCAATGTTATCCACAGCTTGTTATAATTCACACAGTTGAAAGCCTTTGTATAGTCAATAAAGCACAAGTAAACATCTTTGTAGTATTCTCTGCTTTCAGCCAATATCCATCTGACGTCATCATGTTGTTGTTGACGTCAGCATACAGGGGTAAAATTATGAAAACTTTTTAAACATTACCAAATAAATACCTTGAGGGAATGAGTTTCTGGGCCTGGGAACTCAGAACCATAGTCTCGGGAGACACCATGGTCAATTACCATAACATAATCCATAAAGACAGTGGTCTACATCCTACTTTGGTGAATATCAACTGGGATCTTAAAAGTTTATGAGTAGCCATCTAAAGTGCAACTTTTTTTCTCTCCCTGTGTGTAGGGAAAATAGAATGACGAAAATTAAAGAGGCTTGAAATCAATTAGTCCAATGGATTAATGAACCACGTGAACATCAGTCTCCAAGACCCTAAGGCCAGAAGAACAAGATGGTGCTTGGCTATCACTACCAACTGCTCTGAAAAGATTTATATCATGTGGTCATAGATAAAGTAGGGTACAATGTGAAACAAAACTCAAAATTATATATAAAAAAAACACTCAGCTTACTGGTAAAAACAGACTAGAGGGTAAAAAAAGACTAGAGGAACCCAAGATTATGTATGGCCCTTGGTCACCCTTCAGGTCTGTAACTGAACTCACCTTTGTGGCTCTATTTTCAGCCAAGTAGTAGAAGGGTATATAATGGGGGCAACAACACTGATGCATGTCAACCATTCAAGATCAAAAGGGCAGCATTTACCTAAGGCCAAAAGTCAGAAGGATTGGGAAAGAAGGTGGAATGGAAACAAGAATGACAGGGAGGAAGCAGGATAGCTGATGATACCTTGAGGGGAGTACAATCAGTGACACAAAATGAAGCATATGATTTGTTGAATGTAAAGCTGACATGACAATCTGCTCTGTAAACCTTTACTGAATTCACAAGTTACATAAAAATATCTGTAATTAAGAGGAGGTGGAATCAACTCAACAGCAACAGGTTAAATGACCCATTGGTAATTTTCAACTTTGCTCTTGATATATTACTGGGTTTTCTTTCCAAATAGTTACTGCTAGCAGTGAAAGCTTCAAATGAGAATATCATTTTGTTAGTATTTAAAATCAAGTCTGAAAAATGAAATGAAAATGATAAAAAGATGGTATATTTACTTAGTTCCTTCCATACTCAGGACTTTAGAAAAGAAGTACTAGGCAGCTGCGATAACTTTACCTCTCTGGTCTGTTAGCCTTCCTCACAAGAGAAAAGAAATACTATGGGATCTTTGTCCATAAGATTGAAGGGCGATAAAAGGGGAAGACCAAATGACTGGGGCAGAGAAGTAAACACAGATTTGGCAAGCAGTAAATTATTTAACATTATCTCTTGTCTCTGGCAAGAATAAAGCACGCTACATTTAAAAGCTTCAAAATAAAATTTAAAAGACAAAATGGTGGCTATAATGGTTTGAAGGGGTAAAAGAGGGGAATAGTGTTAAGATGCTTGGCTGTCTTTGAATCTTGGTTTCCCTTGCATACCACTGTAAAGAAAGATGAAGTGGTCTGCTCCTGTAAAGATTTACAGTCTCGGAAACCCTGTACAGGGTCGCTATGGGTTAGAACCGACTCGACGGCACTTAACAACAACAACAACCATTGTAAAATAGATACTTGAGGTAGGGAGAAAGGAATAGTCAGAATCATCACTACTGAAAGCTTGTAAGCCCTTCTTCAGCCTATAACTGATTGGAATACCTTAAAGGGGGCTAGAAGTTGCCCAGTGAAAGAGGCTTCCTATGGAACCTTTACATTACACAAGACCATAGGTGAAATCAGGATCCCCATCCAGAACCGGCTGAGGTAGGGAATTTCCACTGGAAAGGACAAGTAGAGCAGCCTGGAGCAGCTAGAAGAACAGAAGATACTTTGTGAAAGAATGACCGGTAGGAAAAATCCGAAACAATAACAGCAGTCTAACTGATTACTATAAGAACAAGTAAGCTGTTCGCCCGGGAGCCATCAAGGCAAGTGGTCAGGACCCCTCAGAGCAAACCCCCTTCCAAGACTGAGACTCGGGGGTAATACATGAGCAGGCATGTGGTCTGGCTGGTGACCACAATGGTCACTGATAAGGGAAGAAGGGGAAAAAACAACAATGAAGGTGCAAGCTAAGCCCGACCACATTCAATAGACCCCCGTGAACCTGGGTGGAGACCTAGTTGGCCAACAGTACAGCAAGACCTAGGGACTCCTGGGGCCAGAATCAGTGACATGACCACAGAGGACTAGAGTGGAGAGCAAAGTGTCCAGCTGATATGAAGTGAGGGGAGATGCATAAGAACACCCATGCTTGCAGACAGTACCCACTTGACCTGGCTTCGATGGCTGGACGATCAGAATTTGACTAGAAGAAAGAAGAGGGGGAAAAAGGAGAAAAAAAAAAAGAGTAACCTGCTACAATTTGATGAATTTTACCTATACTTATGGATGTAGTAGCTCAAAAAAGGGAACAAATCTTTACAGCAAGGATCATTCCCACCCATTCGGTACACAAGGTTGACAGGGATGGGCAACATAGACATTGGCTACCCAAAATGTAGGGACCTTTAAAGGCAAGAAGTGACTGGCTTACAAGCTTTCAAGAGGGAGTCTAGTTCCAGATGGGGCGGGGGAAGGCAAAATCACCACTGAATCTGTTAGGACCAGGCTGGCGAAAGGAAATGGGGATAAGACACTTGTGGTACCATAGTGAATAACTGCCATCAGGACTGACTGTGAGGCTAGGAAATATAGAAGTATATGTTTTTTGACAAAAGGAGGAGAGTGACTGATTTTGCAGCCCAGGAACGGAGGTCCCTGGGACCATCAAGTAAGATGAACAGAGAGCGGGATCTTACCCAGAGAGACAGTGATGCCAAGGATGAAGACAGAGACGATGACATGGACAGATGGAGCGGCTGGGGACACTGGACTCAGAGAGGGAAAAGGGCTGTGTGCTGGCAGCCAGGGTGGGGGTGGGCCTGTGTGGCGTACCCTTTGGGTTATTTGATGATGCATGGAGGGAACTGTAATCATTGCAATGAAACAAAATACGATAGGATGAGTGTAAAGCTGATATTCTCCCATGTAAACCTTACAATAAAAACTTTAAAAAAAAGGTGGCTATAGCATCACCACAGTATTTAAAAGAGCACATATTTTGGAGTCAAAATGCCTGAATTTGATTTTAGGCTCCAACACTTTTTACTTGTATGAACTTACCTGTTTTATTTGCTTAAGCCAATTTCTCCTAGTTGACTAAGTTCCATTATGAAGGAACCTTGTCTCTAGTTGACTACTATAAGCCTAACATCTACCACAAAAGCCTGGTAAAAAGTGAAGACTTCAGTAAACATGTGTAGAACTCTAGGAATGATCTCATGCAAGTTTCTCTACCTCTGAGTCTGTTTATTAATATGTAAAATGGGTATAGTAAAACTTGTATTATTTCAGTAAAGTCCTACAAAGTATATAAATATCTAGCAAAGTACCTTCTTTCTTTCATTATATAATGAATTCAGCTCTACTTAAGTGACTCACAATAGTACAGAATCAGTAGCCATTAAGGTATTTTTTAAGTCACGATTTCTCAGGTATATATACATATATATATAATATTATTTGAGCATGTTCATGCCTATCTTAAATACTTTTCCTCATTAGTATCTATCTCCTATGTTGTACGCAAACTGCTTGGTCATGTGCTTTATTACACATGGTAAGAACTCAATGTTAGTAAACTGTAGGGACACAAACGGAAAGCTCCAAAATGGCCATGCCAAGGTCAACTCAAACCATATCTCCTGTCCCTTCCCCCTGGCTCCAGCTACTTAGGAAGGAGCACACAGCTCCCTCCTCCAGTTATGCACACTAAAACTTGTTCTCTTGCTTTAGATATACATATGCTAGAAGTCCAGCTATGTAGATCAAAACTCTAGTAAAGGGGCAGGCAGTCCCTGTGATTTTCCTACCTCTTCTAGTTCTGCTCACAACCCTTAATTGCCCTTACATGTGTGAAGCGTGTGCGGAAAAACTTCACTGCCCAACTGGCAGTCACTGGAGACAGCTGTTCCCTTGTCAATATACCATCTCTTTCATTTTCTTTTCTGTAGTAAACTAATAATGTCTCTCAGATTTGATCCTGGTCGAAGAGACAGCTAAAGTGATCTTTCCCAGTTCTAATGGTTACTATAGTACTTGCTGACAAATCTCACCTCTTCTATTCACTCAAAACTGCCTTACAGTTTCAAACAAGAGGCCAGAACTTAGTGGAGAAAAGCATTCTTTGCCACCTCCTCACCATCTTTTTTTTTTTTAAGTAGAGGTCTATTAGTATTTCATGCTAACCCTTCATAGACTGGGCATTAAAACTTCAGCAAATAAGAAAGAATACAGATTCTCCTTTTCTTTGCTCCATGAGCCCTTTAAATCTTTTTAGGATTACAGTTTTGTAAAGGTACACTGAAAACCTAATTTAATTACATTTTTCTTGTATATCATTCATCACAGCATTTTCTCACCAGTCCATCATTTAATTTTATGAATGTTTCATTTTTAAATTATCATTCTGCCTGAAAAGACATTAAAGTAAAATCTAAGCAGTTAATTTGGAGTTGCTTTTTTTCAGAAAATAGGTTAACTTTCACAAAAACCAGTCAGACTGACCAGATTTAAACATCAGACTCTATGATCAAACACTCAACTGCACAAAAAGAGAATTCTCTATGTACATATATGGATTTAGGAAATTATTTTAAAAACCACTATGATTTTCTGTTAGCAAACAGGACAGGATTCAGATTAAAAGAATTCAAAATACATTACTTACTTTTGCAAATAATTCCTGTTGCTGCCTCAATAACTCTTCTTCAGGAATGCCAAGGTTTTCCAAACGAGAATTGGCCTTTCTTCTTTTTAATGCTACTGTCTTGCATTCTTGTAAAACTTCTTTTACTTCACTGATATACGAGCCAAAGCCCAAACTTTCTAGTGCTGGGGGTAAATAAGAAAATATAAATAAGAGTGTGATAAAACAATGCTTCTCCCCCTATCTATGGAACATGATACAGTCCTGGTGTGGCGCTGCACAATAATGCAGTGAACCACAAGGTTGGTTTGAATCTCAAGGTTAGTGGTTGAAACTTACCAACCACTCCTTAGAAACCCTATACAGGGTTGCTATGAGTCAGAATTGACTCCATGATACTTAACAACAATAATATGGAACACGATGCTATTGATGCTTTTTTGGAGGGGTATTTTGCTACTTTGTAATATTTTACGTATTTTGGCCAGGATGGCCAAACTTCGTCTCTCATACTTCAGACATATTGTCAGGAGGGACCAGTCTCTGGAGAAGGATATCATGTTTGGTAGGGTGGAGGGTCAGAGAAAAAAAGGAAGGCCCCCCGTGAGATGGATTAACAAAGTGGCAGCATCAATGGGCTCACGCGTGGCAATGATAGTGAGGTTGGCCCAGGATTGGGCAGTGTTTCATTCTGCTGTGTACAGGGTCACTGTGAGTCAGTACCAATTCGATGGCACCTAACAACAACAACAACAACAACAACATGACTGCACTATAATCAATCATCTGGGTGGCCTAAGTCAAAAAGTTTAATCAATTTGCTTCAAGTTAGGTAGCAAATCAGTTACAGTTTAAAAGTATTTTAAGACAGCCCTCACTATTTTTATTTTAAAAAATATTTCCTGTAAGAAAGACAGAAAAAAAAAAAAAAAATCCAATGTAAGGACAAATCCACAGTAAGGAAACATTTTTTTCTATTTTTCCTATACCACTCATGGTAAGTCAAACATCATTATGCCAGGCACTTCCCCAATACAAAAAGGGCAAATATTTGGAATACACTTGCACAATATCTATTTTGTGCCATCTAGTTTGGAAAAAGTTAGCTGATGGAACATGCTTTACCAAGTTTCAAATGGGATGAAAGAATAAATAAGCTTTCCTTTTTTCAACATATCTACAGGAAACTATTTTTATCAAAGACACTCAAACTGCCATGTTTAGTCCACACTGGTGGAAATAGCTCATGAAATTCAGCATTTATAGTGAGCCAACAGGTCTGCCCTTGAAAATTAAACTTAACAAGAAGCACTATAAAAACATTTTCTTACCAGCAATGTAGCAGAAAAACTGGGATGAGGGAAAATTATAAGGTTAGAAAATTTTCTATTTTTTCACATTTAGAAAGAAAAATTTACAAGAAAAACCATGTATCTCTGAAATCTACAGACAAGGAATAAAGTATATTTTTATAGTTCATAGTATTTAAAATGACATTTTATAGCCTTCCATATGTTGACTAAGGTATGGCACCATAGGATAAGTACTGGAGTTCAAGGTTGGATTGAACTGCAAGGTCAGTGGTTCAAACTCACTAGCTGCTCCTTGGGAACCCTATACAGGATCGCTGTGGATCAGAATCACTTAACAACAACAACATATTATGACTAAGGAGCCCTGGTAGCATAGTGGATTAAGAGCTGGGCTGCTAAACCACAAGGTCAGCATTTCGAATCTACCAGTTGCTCCTGAAGAGAAAAATGACACTTTATGCACCCATAAAGATTTGTTGTTGTTGTTGTTAAGTGCCATTGAGTCGATTCCGACCCATAGCAACCCTGTATAGGGTTTCCTAGGAACTGCTGGTAAGCTTGAACCACCAACCTTGCAATTCAAACAGCTTTGCAGTCTGGCGCATTAACCCACAGCGCCACACCAGGACTCCCATAAAGATTTACAGCCTCACAAATCATATACAGGGTGGCTATGAGTCAGAACAGACTAGGTGGCATATAACTGTTGTTGTTGTTGTTAAGTGCCATCGAGTCGGTTCCGACCCATAGCGACCCTATACAGGGTTTCCGAGGCTGTAAATCTTTACGGGAGCAGAACGCCTCATCTTTCTCCCATGGAACAGCTGGTAGTTTCGAACTGTTGGCCTTGAGATTCGCAGCCCGATTCGTAACCACTACGCTACCAAAGCTCTTTGGCATATAACTATCACCACCATATATTGACTAACGCCACAAATACTTATTTATATTCTGAGCCAGTGGTAAAAAACAAAAACAAAAAAAACAAGTGAGCAGAAAACACATTAAATGAATTTAGCTTAGCTCATCTGGTCTTGCTTTTTCAACAATTATAACGAACCAGACTACTTAATCTCAGTAAAACCAAAATCAAATTCTCTGCTGTTGAGTGGGCTCTAAATCACAGCTACTGAATGTGACAGACTAGAACTTCCTCACATGGTTGTCAAGGCTGATAATCCTTATGGAAGCTGACTGCCACAACTTTCTCCCTCACTGGAGCTGATGGGTTCCAACCATCAGCCTCTGGTTGGCAGCCACTGTGCCACCAGGGCTCCTGACTTTAGTAAAGATGCCTTTAATTTTAACTTTAGGAATTTTGCTCTTCACAGAGAAAGTATCAAACAAATTCACATTCCCAAATTAAGTTGGAGCTTTTAAGACATTTTCAATAGTTGACAACTTTGATTATGTCAAATATTCAAGCCGTTTTCATAAACCGTTTAAAGAAATAATCTAACACCAAACATAACGTCGTACTGTTGTATATGACCTTGAGTTGATTCCAATTCATCATAATCCTACAAGAGAGCAGAACTGCCCCAGAGGGTTTCCCAGGATATAATCTTTACAGAAAGGAGTTCTGGTGGCACAGTAGTTAAGCACTTGGCTACTAACTGAGGTCAGTGGTTTGACTCCTCTAGCTGCTACACAAGGGAGAAAAATGTAGCAGTCTACTTCTGTCTAGCTTACACAGACTTGGAAACCCTATGGACCTATTCAACCCTGCCCTACAGGGTGACTATAAAACAGAAATCAACTCGCTGGCAATGGGTTATTTTGTTTGTTTAGCTTTTTTATTGTGAATTTAGTGACTGTTTACAGGGCCGATTATCAGTTTTACATTCAATAAATCATACTTTGTTTCACTGCAATGATAACAATCCCCTCTATGTACCATCAGTATTTACCTCTGTTACTACACACACACACACACACACACACACACACACACACACATGTGTGTGTGTATGTGTATTTTTATGTATACCTAAAAAACAGAAATTACATATTCATTTAAATGTCCAAAGGACACACTTTGCAAGTCAGCCTCCTGCCTGCCTTTCTCAGTCCATGGGTCTAGAGTCCTCAGCTGCTCTATCTATGTCATCACCTCAAGCACCTTAACATTATTTCCCTTCTTTTACCCATTCCAACTATGTCTGGATCCCTGTATAATAAAGCCCTGTTGTTCCAAGTTTGTGTATACACTATTTACCTCTAACAAATTTAGCCTATGCATAACCCCTAAGGCTAGCCCTATCTTCCTTCTTCACCTACCCCTCCCCCACCTTATATATTGCCCTTCTGTCCCCCAAGCTATCATGTGTCTACCCCCCCAACCTATGAATTACTGACCCTTCCCCCTCCCTCTACCCCTGGTAACCATCAAAGAATTTTTCTTTTAGAGTGGAAATCTTTTCTTAAGCTTTTACAATAATGGTCTTATGCAATATTTGTCCTTTGGTGACTAATTTCACTCAGCATAATGTCCTCAAGGTTCATCCATGCTATGAGGTGTTTTGCAGCTTCATCGTTATTCTTCAAGGTAGCACAGTATTCCATTGTGTGTGCGTCCCAAAGTTTATCCATTCTTCTACCACTAATGGATACTTTCTCCATCTTTTTGTTATTGTGGCAGTGGGGTTTTTAAATCTATATAGGAGCAGATTGTTAGTTCAAACTAATAACCTTTCGGTTAACAGCTGAGCACTTAATTATTGTGCCACCAAGGATCCTCATAGTACAATTACTTTCATTTTAATTAAGTAAACTTATCCTCCACCTCCAAATTTCAGCAAAGCATTATTCTGAGCTCTGTATATCAAATCCACTACAACATAATCCTTGGTGTCAAGAAACTTGGGATATATATAGTGGAAACATAAGTAAAGATTAGTCAGTCTGCATTTTTCACTTCAATTGACAGACTGATTTTGTTTTACCTTTTCAAAGATATAAACATAATAGTGTATTTCAATCATAATTGTTGAATAGCAAAAGATAACAACAGAATGGTTTACAGTTTTTTATTTTGGAGAAGTCCTGGTGTGGTGCTGTAGGACAAGCACTGGACTGCAAACCCACCAGTCATTCCTCGGAAATCCCACACAGTGTTGCTATGAGTCAGAATCAACTTGATGGCACTTAACAACCATAATTTAATTTCTTAGCCCTACTACAAGCTCCTCCAGGATCTAGCCCCACCTAACGTACCCAGCTTTAATTGTCATTAAATTTCTACATTCACCACCACCCATTATTTCCCAACAGACACCAGTGTTTACCACATTCATGTTAATAGCAATGCACTGAAGGGCCAGATCAAGCCCCATCTTCAATTAAACTTGCCTGATTCTCTCACACAGAAACGATCTCCCCCTTTTGAAATTAACTGTTGTTATTGTTAAGTGCCATCAGGTCAATTCCAATTTATAGTGAACTTATGCACAACAGAACAAAACAAGGCCTGGTCCTGTACCATTCTCACTGGTGTTGTTAGGTTTGGACCCATTATTGCTGCCACTATGTCAGTCCATCTAGTTGAGGATCTTTCTCTTTTTTACTGACCCTCCACTCTACTAAGCATGATGATGTCCTTCTCCAAGGACTGGTCCTTCCTGACAAAGTCCAAAGTAAGAGAGACGAAGTTATGCCATACTCACTTCCAAGAAACATTCTTGCTTTACTTCTTTCAAGACACTTGTTTGTTCTTCTCGCCATCTGTGATACTTTCAATGTCCTCTGCCAACACCATAATTCAAACGCATGTTTTCTTCTACAGTCTTCCTAATTCATTGCTAACGTTCACATGCATATGACCCATCCAAGCCATGATACTTTCAGTCTCCCCATACACACTTTAAAGTTGG